ATATTTCGCCGGCAACTCCTTTTTCGGTAAGAGATCGTCATAATCAGGTTAACGTGAGTTGGCGCGGCGTCTTTTAGATCACGTTTTCCCGACCTCACAATACTAATTTATTCTGGGGAACCTTTATTGGTGTATGAAAAGATGGTCGCATCATTTCATTAATTGAAATCACGTTGCTTTGAATTTTTTCACGTTTAGATAAGTGAATATTTTTTTGCAGATTTCGGTGGAATGGGTCATTATAGTCTTTTGTAGAGAAAAGATAAAAGTTAGATTGTAAATAAAATCCAATAATATTATACATTATATACTAACTTTGATTTGCATAAGGCGTTCTATTGAAGTAGGAAGTACGCCAAAATCAGAACTATCTCGAGGGAGATAAAATTTCCCCAAAAGAATCATCCGATATATGGCTTCATATTTTAAATCCATAACAAATAAACGACATTGAAAACCTAGTCGCAAGAATGCAGGAAAAGGCAAATTAGATTACAGACGTTAATGTAATTTTAAGAAATGCCAATAACTTACCTTCCACCAATAAACCACAAATTATTAAATCATTACTTTTTACTCCATCATCAATACATTTGTCAATTATATCCTTCATTTCGTTGCCTAATTTTACCAAATCACAGTCTTCCAAAGCGATTTTATTTCCATTTGATAAAATAAAATCGGCAGACTTTATTTCCGAGGCCAACAAATAGAATTTATTACCTCTAATAGGCAAATATACTGAAAAATCAGCTTTTCGTCCCTGTAATATAGGGTCAAATTTACGTTTCCGATGTACAGACGCTTCCAAGACGTCGGTTGACCTGAAAATAATCCGATAACATTTTAAGAAACCATTATAACAACAATATAAGATTAAGAAAAAAAATGTTTCAAAAAGTTACCATTCACATTTAAAATTAATGTTGCGGAAAAATGGCCTGATCACAGATTCAAAAACTTCATGCACAAAGGAATCTTCTTTTAAATCTTGCCTGTACACTTCCGGTTTAAAATTATTTATTCTATAATATAGAAACTATATTATGTTAAATAATAAACAATTCTTAAGCCTTACAGATACTCACATTGACTCGAACGTTTCTAGAATTAAATCTTCTTGATCATCGTCAAGATCCTTTTGCCATTTTCTCAATAATGGCTTGCATTTTCTAAAATCTTCACTTGCGATCTATTTAATAAATACGTTATTATGAATAATCACCATATTAAGAGCATATCAGAGAAGTCATACTTGTGCCATTTTATGACACCGTAAAACATCATCATTCGATAAATGATATGGAGCAAATTCATTTTTGATAGTATCGAAAATAACATTTAATGATTCCGGTTCGATCATTGAAGAAACCCCAATCGTCGCATTTTGTTCGAATAAAAATATATGATTCAATGAACTACAATAATGAGAAGCATTTTAAAAAAAGAACACAATCGAACGCATAAAGAATTTGTCAATTTAGAACTTACAGTATTTCAGCAACTTCTTCAATCTTATTCTCAGAAGCTCGTTGAACTGACATATCACGATATTCTAGTAATAAATTCGAAACGTCGAGTGTGTCGATAATCCACTGCATATATGAAGAAGAATTAATCTTTTCTAAATAAACTCAAATAAAAGTTTAAAAGTTACCTTTTTTGCACCCTCACTTAATGAAGATTTCATAACACCTGGTCCAGTAAACCAGTCATAGGTATAATTATTTCTCTTCTTTTTTATCTCAATGAAAGTATCATCATCTGGTTCATCCGAACCGGGATAATAGGACTTATCTGAATCGTTCCCGCCAGGTGTTGTAAAAAGCCCATTCAAGTTGTTCTCATCGGTTATTCCAGATGCAATGAAAGGGTTGTTGGAATCGTTTTCTATAAAATTTAAATTCTAGAAATAAATTTGTTAATTAAAATGAATAAATTCTCAATGGTTCAAATCCATAACACTAACCTTTGCCATACGTTTCGGGGGGCTTTCTTTGCAACATCTAGAAGTCGTTTCGTAGTTTTTGCACAAGTAGAGTCATTGGCGTCAATTTCTGATTTTTTCTCGTTTTCCAACAATTTATTTCCAAAGTTTTCGTTCACGTTTGAATACAAAGTGTAGGTTTTTTCACGACAATTTCCTGAAATTTGCATCTGACAAATATCGCATATTAAATCACAGTGATATTGATTGAGAGAAACAAGCCCATAAGTTTTGTAACCTACCATATGCCATCTTTCGATGATACAAGACCAATCTGCTTTGTCATTAACTACCTGTATTTTTATAATTTAAAAATTGTTAGAGCATACTTATTGAGGTGGGAGATGAGGTACATAATGATGGGATGAGTGTTGGGAATGTAATAACCGCAATCAGTAAACCCGACTGAAGCTCCCACAACACTACTATGTCCGCAATGTTAGGAATGTAACAACCGCAGTCAGTAAACCCGACTGAAGCTCCCGACAACATTACTAGAACGAGGATGATATTTTTTGACACGAATGCCCTATACGGAGAAAATGATAGTTATACTTTCCTCAATATTCAATATCTTTGCAGTTGAATCGAAACGCTTTGCCCATCCACCCTCCAGTCCTAGAAGGTCACTTGTTTGAGTAGATGATCTGGCTACAAAGTCAACGTTCAAACGAACAAATTCTGACAAAGAAGGGATAACGTTCTGATCTGATGCCACGTGAAATATGACTTAAAGACTGAAAATTTGATATTGTATTGGTAAGTAAATGTAGAAAGTCGCGTCAGTTTCAGAAAAACGTGTACTTGCCATCGAAACCATACGGTTTTTTCTTTTGTTGGCTCATAGTAGGGGAGAAAGTAAACAAATAGACAAATTACAACTAGGAAACGGGGACCGTTGTGAGTCTGGAGCAAAAAAAAAATTGTTGGATTAAAATCACAAGTCGTGACCAGATCCCGTGACTGATCAAATTTTTCACTTTGCATAGGAAATATAATGTCCCCTCCGGACAATGATGATAACCTTATATAAGCAAACACATGACCAACTTTTAGCGACGGCCCGTCGCCGAAATGTCATTACTGCGCCATCGCTCGGCTATGCATGTCCCACGAATTTCTACGTTGATATCTGATTCGCGGATTTAAAACACATGACATCGCTTCACTGAGGCTCATTATTGCTTTGCAATGGGCTTTGCCCTATAACGTCATGTGATTTCGAAGTTACGATGTAGTTATAATTATTTTCAGATTGAATTTGCTTATTCACTTAATTTATATATTTATGCGCATTAATTATATTACCATATT